CACACCCATGCTGAGAGCTTCCAGATCATATCTCCATTCTGGACTTTATAAAGTGCAGCTACCTATTGGACATTGCCTCCAAATGAGTATGTCTAAAGTTAAAAACATTTCTCTTTTTCAATCTCCACCTTCTCTCCAAATATAAAATGGCTAATCCTCCTGTTATGTTCTAGCTTGGTTAATGTCACCCAAACTAAACTTTGGAAGTTATCTAAATTCCCACAATTTCCTTCCCATTCTCTTCAGATTTGGTCATTAACTGTCCTAATTATCTCTCTCATCTCTGTTACTCTTTTTGTGCAGTTAGCCCTCCACATTGCCTAAGAAAGTGTTTCAGAAACTAAATCAGTTTATGTCCTTCCTTTATTAAAATGCTTCAGTGGCTCTACAAAACCAGAAGGATAAAGTCCAAACTCATCTGCAGTCCTTTCTGTCCTAAGTCTCCCAACTTGTCCAGTCTCATCTGTTAACATTCTCTTCTCCCAACTTTTACTCTAACCATATTGAAATACTACCATGTCTTCAAATGTATCAGATTGCTTCATACCGCCATGTCTTTACATGAGCTGTTCCATACAGGAGTATTTTTCTCTCTCCCATTCCCACACCCAGGCTCAACCCAATCACATCCTTATTTCAAGGGTCTCCTCTATAGCTTGCCCTGAGTCATTAAGACTGAGTATATCATTCTTTCATCTGTGTCACTACATTGTGCTCATGATTGTTGTTGAATGTACTCTGCAAAGTTCTGCCTTTGAAAATAAGACAATGATGGCTAAAATAATATTTTGAGTTTTAGCTTAGTTATAATTCATATGGTGATATACCTACTCTAGCTGACAGTCATTTCATGGCCCTCAAACTGGATTAAGAGGCTCTTCTCTGCCCTTGTATGCTACTGTTGACTATACTGCGTTACAGTTATCTGTTTCTTGTACCTCTCCGCTCATTCACTTGAGAACTCTTTGAGGAAGTTCCCTTTCTATGAATACTTTTCTTTCCAACATCTAGCACAGTGCTTTGTACATTGTAGACAGTCAATATATATATTTGATGAATGAATATTGCTATTGAATAAACGATCAGAGCCTCATAGGACAATCGTTTTACTTCTGCCTTTACTCTTTAAATCTCCTAGATGTCTGAACCTCTATGCTGTGAACATCATATTTAACCTGGAATTAGTGCCATAAAGTCTGGTTCATGCACTGAGCAAGGGATGAGGTTAAGTTATGAGCTAGAGTTGGGACATTATATCAAATTTGCATGCCTTCTCCCTGGCTTGCCAATGATAACTTACTTTCTAAACCCTCAGTAAAGTACTGGACAGTCAGTCATCAAATAAGTTCAGCCATCTATATATAGTTTTTGAAAACAATTGAACTGAGTGTTCTTTGGGGATGTGATATAATAACAATGACTAGCATTTATTCAATGCTTACTTTGATCCAGGCTAAGTGTTAAGTGCTTTACATGCATCCTCCCATTTAATTTTTATCCCGTAGGTGGGAGCTATTATTGCCCTCATTTTATAAGTGAAGTAACTGAAGCTTTGGCATTTAGGTAACTTACTCAAAATCTCACAACTATATGTGGTAGAACTGTGGTTCACATTATGACCTGCTTGTCTCCCTTTATGTGAAACACACACACACACACACACATTTATACACCAAAAAGTGCTACATTCCTTTTTGGATGGTCTTAGTTATGGCAGAACTCTAAACTACAACTTCTTGCCTTTTGCTTTCTTGTTGATCTGGAAAATGTAGGTTATTACAAATCAGGAGTAGATTGTAACAGAGTCAGGATTTATCCTAAATAGTTATAGATGGGGACCTGATTCTCAGTGGATAACACTCAATAGAGTGTTTGCTATGTATAACCACTATACTAGGAGATTCACATTTATGATTACCTTCTCTTTGAGCATATTAACTATTCATGGATACAAATCATGAAAATATGATTTTTTTTTTTTACTTATGGTATGTTCCACATATCATCATGGACACATGTGGCAGACTCTTTGGAGCCTAACTCTTTTCTCCTAGATTAGAAGATGGGCGAGTTAGTTTTACACACTCCCTTGACTATAGGAAGGGCTGATAGTCAATAAAAGATTTTTTAAAATTCTTTAGCAGGTCATAGGCTAATATTAGATCAGCTTAGGACTGGCCACTAGTTTTGGATCAGTTTAGAGGTTGAAGACCTTCCCATCCACAGACCTTGTGAATATACGACAGGAATTCTTATTAAGGGACACATTGCTCTCTCCAGCTAGTTTCATAAGAACTTTAAGAAAGCTGAAGATTTCAATGAAGACTTACAATGCCTGTGTTGGATAACTGTACCATTCCAAAGAGTTTTAAAATCCCATAAAAATGTGTGTTTAAATGTCTCTGAGTCTCATTTTTAATAATTTTTCAGTCAAACATTAACCCCATTCATCTTTCATATTACTTAAATTTTATATCTGGTGGATGTTGTTTATTTCTAAACATTTATTTAAATAGAGTTTTTATCTATTGAAGAATAGCACCCTAAATTATTTAAGTTCATAAAAACCCTAAGAAGGGCAAGCATGTTACATGTAGAGGTATATCTTTCCAAAATATGTTGCAAATGATAAAATTTATCTCCATCGATGGTTTTATGTTTATCATAGTGGGAGACAGTGAAACATAGAAGTTAAAAGCTGAGGCCCTGAACCCAGACTGTCAGGATTCAGATTTTTGCTTTGTCACTTATGAACCATTTGACTTTGGTCAAGGTTTTAACTCTCTTCATCTTGTTTTCCTCATCTGTAAGAAGGGAATTACAGAATTTACCTTTTTGGATTGTGTGAGTATTAAAGGAACAAATCCATATGAAGAGATTAGAATAGGATCTATTCTATAGTAAGCTCACAACAAGTGTTGTCATCACTGTGATATTGCCTTGTATAGCTAGAGATTATAATACACATTCTACAGCTAAAACTCAGTTCATTCATTCATTTATTCATGATACATTCCATCACTTATTCAATGTTTAACTAATTCACTTATTCACTAAAGATTTGCTAATCGTCTATTAAATAGCAGACACTGTGCATAACGATATGGGAGATAAAATGATTAATCAGATATTGATACTGTCTTCTCAACAAATATAATTTGGTGGAGAGATAAAAACTAACAAAAGTAATTAATGTAAAAAATAGAAATGCTTAGTGCAATAAGAGTTTCCGGTGAGGTCATACAAGAGTTTTGAATATACAGATATTTCTTCAAACTTCAGGGCTGTGTTCAAAATTACAGGCAAGATTTGCAGGTCTTTCTTAACGAATTAATCAAATTTCACTAGTAATTCTTAGCACTTCTACCTACAGAAAGCCAGTGGCAAAGGAAGACAATTAGAGTCCATTCTGAAGATACCACATTTAGGAGCCTTTTCAGCAGTGCATTATATCCAGAGGACTGCACTAAGGTTGCCAGGGTAAAGCAAACAGACCAGTGATAATTGTTCCTAATTCGTCACAGTCATTAATGCTTGGGTTTTGAAAATCAGAGTGTGATTTAGAAATTTAAATAGCAAAAGTTAATGTGTTATTAAGCCTTAAATTTGTCTTTATTTTGTTTAATTCATTTACTCCTTCAGGTTCTTGAATATTTAAAACATTTAAAATATTAATAACATACCAAAAGAAGTATCAATATTTACATTAAATTGGAATTCATATTGCTCTATAATATTTTCAATGATATTATTCATAATTACACAAAATAAATAATCCTCATGGAAGAAACTTAAGCAAGTATATTATACTTTGGCTATTGCACAGCAAGCAATGCTTTTCTTTCAGAGTGTGGGATACTAAGAAATACTTCGTAATATTAAGCTGGAATAATAAATGATGTGATGCTTTAAAAGTACATATAGCACAAATCATTTTCAAATGATTATTTTCTATTAACAACCAACTGATATATTTTATTTAGCAACAGAGTTTCTTAAATCATGACAATTCAAAGTTCATAAATCATGAAACTTCTTATTATAGTATGTTTTTAAACAGTAAGGATATTACATATCCCGTTCCCCATTTCTGCAAAATAGAAATGATCATGTTTGTGATGAACTCACAGTATTTTCATTTTTCAGAGACAGCTTACTAACACAGGATGATAACATAAATATACATATGTCAGGTTACTATAAAAATATAAATTATCAAAGATCAGTATGGTTCAGATAACTTTGTGGAACTGAAAAGACCGTGTATTCTCTATAGTTTTCTGTGAACATTTTGAGAAACACTCCACTTCAAAATCAGGAATAGTTTATGGTTATAACAATTTGTTGGTTACTCAGCTTCTGAAAAGCACTAAAACTAATTGTAGGAGAAAACATTAACATATATTTCTTTCCCTTCCACTAATCCTTGTGTTTGCTCTTCTTTTTTCATTTCTAGTCCTTCGGAACTAAGACACATTAGAAATAAAGTACCTATTTTAGTAAAACCTTAAGTTGTATTTCAAAATACACTTTTGAGTAAAAACATTATCTATGTGGATAAAATATTTTGTCCATGATCATTTACTTACTATTTTATCTTGTTTATGGCATGTGAAATTCTCACTATCTCAAGATAAACATCTAAAGAAAGCCAACCAAGAGTAAATTCAATCTAAATTAATCTATGCTGAAATATAACACATCTTTAAAAACAAAACACAACAAAAACTAAGTTCTACCAAACCAACTGTCTTCAGTCAGAAGACATTTTTAGTGGATCCTATTATTTATATGATTTTTCCCTTTTCTCAGATCTAAGATATTTTTCTAAGCACATATGGAATTCTATAGGGATTATAAAATTCTCCAACACGCTGATTATTTTGGGGCCAAATTTCCTGTGTAAGGATATTGTGTAAGGAACATGTCACATCAGGCTGAGCTCTATAGATAGGAGCCAAAAGGCCCTGGGAGCATTTTGGCAGCCCTGTGTTACTTACGGTTGAGAGGCAGGCTCGCATTGGTTGTGCCTAGCTTGTTGACAGCCACACAAGTATAGTTGCCGAAGTGCTCCTGTGTCACATTGGTAACAGTGAGAATGGATCTTGTGCTAAAATTCTGAATAATAATTCCTTGTTGGCCACTGAAGAGCCTAAAGGACAAAAATAAACTCTAGGTAAATACGTGTTGTGAATACCATTTTTATCTTAGATGGGGTTGTCATGGCAACACATAGACAGTTTTGACCATGCTGCTGTTAGCATATAACATGATAATAGTGCAATTATATTTCCTTACAGTAGTAGATATTAGGGAAGAGAGGTTGTATGACAGCGGTAGACTGTTCCCATGGGATTATTTGTGCTATATAACAAACACAGCTTAGATAGCCACATGTCCTATTCATACATTGACTTGTATTTTAGAAAATTAAACACACTACAGCAATGGTATCTCAACTGTTAAAGTCAAGAAAAAGTAAAGGGAATTAAATATAACGATTCCTTTAAAAACACAAACTCATGATTTCTAAAAAGTTGGCTAGAATATGTCTTAGCCATCTCAGATGATATTATTAGGTAACTTTCATGAAAGTTAATCCTACAACTGTGGTGGGATGGTTCTGAGTCCAGGGTCAACACTTACTGCTACTTTGTAGATATAACCCAGACAGATGACTTGCTGTTAAACCTAGGAAAAGCCTGCAGTATAATACTGAGGATCGTATTTAAAGTTGAGTCTTATCTTTGCCACACTTTACTAATGTGTTTCGGAAACTCCTTTAACCTTTCTGGGCCTCCATATAGGATTCAGTTTTACCTGATTCCACCCTGACTACTCAACGTTCTCGCTCCAGACTTACCAGCAGAGGCCCCTACTCTCAGATAGGCCGGCATAGCTCTACTGTTTTCAATGCTTGACAGTCTCGCTTTTGCTTCACACTTTTCCTGAATCTTCCCCCAATGGCCACCATTCCCTTTTATCTCTGAGAACCAGATTCCTCCCTCCTCATTTAAGTCTGACCTATGTCCTATCTCTCCTACTCTACTCTCCTTAAACGACTCTCCTCTCTCTGTCTCTGCCTCTTGCTCTACATGTTGCTCTCCAAATTGTTGTAGAATTTATAAAACCAAAGCCATATTCTTGCGTTGTTCTCTCTAGCAGCTTCCATACATACGAGTCTACCCAAATAAACTGAATTGTTTTAAATTTCTTAAAAGGCAAGGCCATATGGACATACTTCATTTTATATTTGAGTTCTACCTAGCACTTTAATAGTGGTATCTTGGATATATAATACATAGTTCATAGGTCAATGGAGTTCGGGTGACAGCCCCACAACACAGGGATTGTTAAGTCCCCTTCAGTGGCCCTGTCAAAAAATTCTCTCTCTAAATATGAATTCTGCTATAATGAGATGCCAACCAAATAATAACTTCTCCCTAACTAACCCCAAAGTTTATTGTGAAAGAAATGTGCTGATCACAATATGTGATATGTAAGCTCATAGCTCAAATGGCAGTTAGCTTTTCTTCTTTAATGTGTTCAAGTCTTAGTACTAAATATTTATTTAATCATGAAGATGCTAATAAATGGCATTCCCCTGAGAGTTTAGGTTGAACTCCTTTGCATTATGTTATGTGACTTGCATCTGAATTTAGATAAAATATACTGTAGTTAAATGCAGATTAAAATAAGCAACCATGCTTGATCATCTGGGAATTATTTGTATTTCATGTAATAGCTGAATTTGGCTTATTCAAAACTCAAACTTTAATCAGATTAATAAAACGTTGAGTTGAATAAATATTAAAAAACTTTAACTTGAGCAATAAACCTAATGACCTCCAACTCTGACACAAGAAAACAGGTTATCAAATATCAAGGATATGACAGCATTTAGTCATCTGTCTCATATTGCAAATCTATCAATATTTATGCTAAAATCCCACAATGGTTATTCCCTACTTTTCTGCATCACATCAATACATTTATTTTTAACCAATTAGTATATGTTATGTATAAAAATTCACAGTTTCATTGTCCTGCAAGCTTCAGCATTATGGCTTAAATCAATTTGCCCATGTCTCTGCTATGGCTACATTCTCCAGAGGACTCAGCAACTCCCAAGACTATTAAACCCCTTTTGTGCCCCATCTCCCAAAACCAAGATTCATTTTGCTACTAAAGAATTGAGAAAAGATTAGTTAGGGTCTTCATTTGGCTAGGCTCTGGGGAGGAAATATCAAGGGAGTGTAATCAGTTACTTCACAGCACTGTTTGCTTATGTTCCTTATGGCTGTCGTTCTGAGTTGGGTTCCAATTCTCTGCCCTTTAACGTGTCTGAAGGCAAGCCCCAGATGGTGCTAAATCATGCAGTGCATCCATGCTCTGTGCATGCAGACCCATTCCTGGCCCGTGTCCAGCAGTGTTATGTGAATTCTTACCAAAGTGGCACATCAGTCACACTTTAGCAGCAGCAACTCCTGCTGCTGCGATCAGCCTGGCAGGTGATTATGGTCAATAAAAAAAGGAAGGCATCTTCTCTGGGGGAATGTTCTTCCTCTAGAGGACGTTATCTGTCTGAGATGACTGGAAGAGTCCAAAGCTTCCATTCTTCCATAGTTGGGAGTTTTAGAAGTACTGACTCATCAAGCACCATTTAAGAACCTGTCTTCACCTGGTAGATGACTGGGGCAGCATTTCCAAAGCTGACATTGAGGGAGAGAGACTTCTGAGATGATGTATATCTCTGGAAGGTGTATTTCTGTGATTTTCCTACAGAGATCCTGGGGGTAGTGGTAGATGGAGGGTTTCTCAGCTATTTAAACCAATTCTGAAAATAGTCGTTACTTACTACAAAGATGAGTTCTATACTAGGTGATTAGGGGGTAAGCTGGACAACACATAATCTTTGAAGATCTTTCAAGAAGAATCAGATATATAAACAGGTGTTTACAACAGCGGGTGGTTTAGTCACTGTGGGGACCCTTTTAAGATGAATACGTCTACCCTTAGGTATTAGATACAAAAAAATTGAACCATGCCTAGAAATCCCATTATGTATGACCCTAATGTAATTTCACTCCTTGACTAAAAACAAATAAGAAAAGAGCTCTTTAACTGATGACGCTTTTTTTTATGAAACAGACTTATCCTAATATGTTTGGATATAATTATATTTTCTGAAAAGAAAATCATTCTTTTTTTATCAAACATGTATTTGACAAACTGAATTGTTATTCTGTGTTAAAGAAAATCCTTGACAGGCTTCAGGCATGTGCACATGAGCCTATTCACAGGATGACCCTCGTCCCACTGGATTTTTCATATTTATCCCAGACTTGCTTGAAACCAGACTTCCTTGCATCAGTGATGTGAAATCTGAAAGTGACAACTCAAGCAATAGTTAACAACACACCTTGCAATGAAACCAGGGAACTAAATCCAGAATATTGCCTTTTTAGGAGTTCATTCTCTCTTTTCCTAAATACTTAACTCTTTCAAGTTATAAAAGAATGGTTCTTATACTGACTTAGATTATAGAATGAGAGATGTTTTCTTATAGCCCCTACCCTCAAAAAGAGAGAAACAAATTCTAATAAGCCAGGAATGAAATATGGCATTACTTTCCTCAGCAGGAGATCAGAAACATATAGTGGTTGCTTAGAAATGCCTGGTCGTTTTTATTTTTTGCATTTTTACCATTCAGTGGACCCCATGTATATAAGATTCTTCTATTACTGTGGACTCTGCTGTCCTCTACCCTCTGCCTCCAATAGGAATTTGTTCCAAACCACTATGATCTGACTGTGTCCTCCCAAAATTCATACATTAAAATCCTAAGTCCCAAAGACAATGGGGTTAGTAGGTGGGGTCTTTGTGAGGTGCTTAAAAGTCATGAAGGTGGAAGCTTCATGGTTGAGATGAGTACTTTATAAAATAGGCTCCAGAGAGATCCCTAGCTTCTTCTGCCATATGAGGATACAATGAAAAGTCTGGGACCCAAAAGAGGACTCTCACTGGACCATGCTGGCACCCTGATCTTGGACTTTCAGCCTCCAGAACTGTGAGATAAATTTCTTTTGTTTATAAGCTACTCAGTCTGTGGTATTTTGTTATAGTAGCTCAAATGGACTAGGACACATACTGAATACCATTGCCCTCCCTCTTCTTTCTTCTGTCTTTTGCTAATGTCTCATAAATCCGTGCACTGCAAGCTATTTGCTTTGCCAGCAGATGCAGCCAACTCATAACTGACATAACCTGACCAACGAACTAGCTCTGAATTAGAATAGTTCTTTACATTTTTTAGTGTCAGTCAGAAGCACCACGTGGAAAACATACTAATAATGACGGTACTTCTATTTCTGACACATGAAATGTTAACAAGCTTCAGAATCATAACCTCTCTTAGGCAGTAGCTATCTAGGATGGCCACAACATAACAACAGCAGAACTGACCACATAGCCATTGGCACTGATTGTTGAGGGTGCAAAAATAAATGGAGCAGCTAAACCTGACCTCATTAATTTTCTATATAAATCCAGCCTCACTACACATTTTGGGACTATTGTTTATTATCTGCTTTCCCAGATCAGGAGTAACAATAGATATTTCTAGATAAACAAACTTTCAGGTGCAAATAGTCACAGAAAAACTTCATTGTTGGTATAGGAAACATGTGTGTGTCAGACAACAACACTGTATTAAAATAACTTGAAATCGGAGTGGGAGAGGTGTTCTTGAATGATAATAGACCTTTTATCAGACTAGAATTGCAAAAGAACAGGATAATACTATATCATGTCGTACAACTGGATAAGATGAATACAGTCTTATTAATTGATATTTGGGTGGTAGCATAGGAAAGATGGAAGACAGTAGGGGAAGGTAAGTAGTTCTGGAGTCATAAGAGTTATATTTACAAAGGAAAGGAACGTTACTTCCAGCATTAGATTTCAGGCTTGTGGGAGTTCCAAGAAGTAGTATGAACTAAAGATATAACTCAAAAAAAAGAGCTTTAGAAAAAGTCATGGGTGATAGTAAGAACTCTGGTATGGTCTTAATGGAAATGAATTTTAATTTAGTTATCAAATGATGCGTAAATGCCTCTTATACTTGATTTAGGAACCAAAGGAAAAAAGACA